TTTTTTTTTTTTTTTGGCAGTTGTTCCTTAAAACCAGCTCTAATTTCATCATAATTCAGGTCACTTGTTCTATGATGCAAATATTTATAAGAATCTGTGCCATAGTCAAGACAGTTCAGCAAGAGCAGTAATTTCCAACAGCAACATTCAATACTATATTTCAAATATTTGTGCAAATAGCAACAGGACAGTTGTATCTGAGGCAAGCTCTTATTTGCAAAAAAAATGCATTCTTAATGCTGTAAACTTGGACTGTCAGCCTTAAGTCTTGCATTTCCCACAGCTTTAAAAAGTCAGTGGCAATAAATTCTCAAGTCTTAGCATGACTGTCTCATACGTAGTGCAAATCATGTAGAGTTTTTCCATGTTCTGTGGCTGGATTGATTTTTGTGTGCGCAACTTTAGTGGTCTATCCTTCTAGTTGAAGACAGTGCCCATTTGAAGAATCAGATGGTTCAGGAAGTTGGCAGGGGGGAGGAAGCAGTTTCATCACACTTTTCAAACCAGCACTAGACGTGCAAAAGCAGCAAAAACTCCAGCTGTGATTACAACCAGAAAAGAGTAACTCTTCAGGAAGATCCAGGCGGTTAGTCACTTGGACTGGTCTCTAGAAAAATATGTGAGTATATGTTGGATTTTGATTAGACGTTCTTTCAAAGACATCATTGAGAGAACCGAGATCTGATACCTGGGGTCTACAGGGAGGACAGCTAGAAGCCACCAACACCAAGCCGGTCCATTAGGTGTTGCCTAAAATTAGAGAATGAATTGGATTATTAAATTAACAATTTAGCACAAGGCGAATAATATGCTGAACAACTTTAAAAAATGGCAAAAGCTAACCATGGAACAAAGTTTAGTCTAACATTAGGGATCAAATTAAGTTATAATCCTCTTCTGGTGCTTCAAACATGTTACTCTCTCCTCGAATCCCTTCTTTAGCTTCCTATTTTATATTGCATTTAATTCAAGACCCATACCCTCACCTTCAAGACTTACATAATCCTGGTCTCATGCACAACTGCTCTCATTCTCTCTACTCCCTCTCTCAATTCTCTCTACTCTCTGCACCTCTACTTTGGAAGGGTCTCCAGCTGCCAATCACCTCCCTCCTCTCCTCAAAATACATTACTTCCATGAAACTTTCCACCCTTGTTTTCACCAATAAGCTTACTACACTCCCTCTTTTAGCAGAACAACTGTCCTATGTCTTGTTAGTGCAAAGAATTATTTAAACTTATGGCACTACACAATAACTAGCGTTCCACGTTTTCAGTTGTAAAAGAAATCCCGGTAATTTTTTGATGTTTATTTTCCAAACATTAAAATGGGGATGAAATTGGGTTAAAGTGGGAAAAATCAGAAACAAAAAAAAGTTCATAATATACACATCTTACTACAGTACAACTAATTTTTTTTTAAATGTACAAAGTTGATTAGTTTTTCCAGAAATCCTGGTTTGTGTCTGGTCACAATTTTCTCCGAAGTATCCTCACTCATGTTGAGTCTCTTGCTGTCTTGGATGTAGTCCAACTTTGAAAATTAGCACTATGCATCAATAGACCAATAGATCCAGGGAATACGCCCAAAGCTTGCCATATCACTTTGCTGAAGTTGGGAGGGTGTCTTGATGATTGTTCCAAAAAGCCAGCACATCCAGTTTCACATTGTCAGGGTTAGGCATGTTCATGCAAGTATTTCAACTTTGAAATTTCATCTTTAGTGGCAAATGGAAGAAACACTCTGGCATAATGGATGTAGTCTGCTGCAAAATTCACCTTGAGGAAGGGTGCAACACCTGGGTGACATTCCAAAAAGAATCTTTGGCACAAAACTCTTTGGGGTCCAGATTACGGGCCACGGTCAACTCCCATTTCTCACTGAGAGTTGTGTTGAAAGTTTTGAACACTTTTTTGTTCTCATGTTCCAAGGTCAGAAGGATTTCCAGAAACAGCTGGGTTCTCTCAATGTTTCGCTCCTACAGCTTTTGTGCTCAATTTCAGCTGAGATTTTGGTTATCAGGATTCGGTAAACATCTGTATTGGCAAACATGGTGGCAGTACTCAGAGAAAACTGCAGTGTTTTCTGTATGTCACACTGTGACCCCAAGTTTTCAACAATGAACACTACCCTTGGTATGCAGAATCTGCCAGTCATTTTGGTTAATTGCCAGTCTCTTCAGAGTTCCTGCTTTAGAATCAATAATCTCAAAATGATCTAGGTCTTCTAGGAGATGTATTAGCACAGTCCATCTGTTATTTACATGACAGGCAGTGAAGTAGAAGATCATCCATTGATGTGACACAACAGGTGTATGCAATTGACAGTTGGCTCTGCACTCGTCTCACCCTCTGTAAAATAAAGCCTTCAACTTGTTCGCATGCTTGAAAATGGTCCCGAATCCAATAATGCAAGATTTCACATCTTTCATTTCTTCTGTAGCAGTAGCTGCTGACAGTGAAATGTTAATCTGATGAACAGGACAGGTAATGTGTAGAGCTCTGGTTTCTGATTGAGTTTAATCTCCCATGCAAACTTACCCACGTAGGAAGCATAATCGGTGTTAGTTGTAGCCACATTTTCCCAAGTTAGTTGGTACATCTCAAACATGTCAGTCGTCTTCTTGTATGGCTTGGGTAGGCAGCAACGATTACAAATTTATATCTAGATTTAATAGCGAGCACATTCCCGCAGCAGTGAGTTGGTGAAGGTCTTTCAGGCCCCCAGCAAAAGAACGAAGGGCACACCAAGATATAGGATGTGTTCTATTGTTTGTGCCTAGTGACCACAGTTGCATACAGGTGTTTGCTTCATTTTCCATTGAAAGAGGGTTTATTGATGTGATTTAATCTGCACCAGTCTTTCCAACTGGAATCAAATCCCAGAGGTTCTTGGCAGGGTCACCGACAAGCTGTTTATTTTGAGCAGTCGAAACGCTCCATGTGGCTCTCCGTTGAGCCTCAGTGTTGAAGTTGAGTGTAAGGGTATGAAGGCAGTTCCACAGAGGGTTGCAGGATTTAAATTTTGTCTTTGGCGGGTTCTGCAAGTCATTGTGCAACGGGATCCTCATGTTTTCATTGACATGGTTGAGAAAGCGAGATGTCTGGGAAACTCTTCTAATCTCTGGAGGCTGGATGTGCGATAGGACCAGAAGCCAGTCGACTGGAGTCAAATTGAGCATCCCTGACACTATGCACATGGCATTGAGATGAGTATCAAGGAGGTTAGTGTGACTGCTGTGAGACCACACTGGTGCACAATATTCAGCCACAGAATATACCAAAGGCAATTGTTGCAGTTTGTAAGGTCTGTGCACTGGAGCCCCATGATATTACAGCCAATTTCCTGATAACCGCGACACAATAACTGACCTTATCTTGGGTGTTCTTGAGGTATTTTTGAAAGGTTGAAATCCAGTCCAGTGTAACAGCAAGATACTTCGGATTAGCTTGATGGCTAATGCTCTCACTGCAGAACTGTACATTGAGTTTGGCATTAGCCATTTTATTGTTCAGATGAAGGCGATCACCATGGTTTTTTTTTTTTTTTCGGGTTAGGCCTAAATTTCCAGCATTGGAAATAATCAGCTAATATGCTAAGATCTCGGGTTAGAGAGCATCTGATGATATGGAGGCTAATGCACTGAACAGCCAAGGCAATGTCATTCGTATGCATTAATTTCCGCGACTCCATTGCAGGTATATCTGTGGTGTACAGATTAAAAAGTATTCGGGCCAGGATGGAGCCCTGAGGTATGCCAGAGTTAAGAGTTCTTAACATGTCAGTTATTGCTGCATTGACAAAACAGGTGTCAGAGGGGATGACTGTCACAACAGCACAAAACAATGTGGGTTTATTTGCTTTAAAATTAAACTAAAACAAAAGGCCAAGAATTGGATGGTCCAGAGCATCAAAAAACTTGTCAAAAATCAGACTAGATACCACATTTCCATCAATTTGTTAGATACTAAAGCATCATCATTTTCTTTCAGATACTTACGAGAGGGGTTGTCTGCACTAGGAAGGGTTTTTGCTGGTGGACAGTACTGCCGCACAAAGTCACCAACAGGGTCCTCTGCAATTAGTAGCGGTTGTCTGATGAAACGAAGAGCACAAAGTAACTGACACAATCACGCTGTGTCTTCTCTTTCATTAAAGCCCTGGTGAAAGCTCCTGATATTGACTGTTTATCCCAAAACCCACTTTCTTCAATCTTCTTGTATCGCTTGCTTTCAACATGATCCTTTATTCTCTCAGCACGAGCAGTGACCTCATTGCTGCAGAACTTGAAGCAGGATGCATCCTCTTCATTCCAGTCTTTACCTTTCTTGAAAAATTTTTAAGCACTGATTTCTTGTTGGTATATTCAGGCGTAGAATTGAGTTTTCACCCTATGTTTACCTTTTTTACCTTCTCTATCTGTGTTTAAATTCAGTGCCGCACTAAACGGACAGAAAGAAATAGGCAGCAGCATTTCCTTGTGAGCCAATCATGGCGCAATATTAACTTGATTTTCCAACCTCTACCATGTGTGTTTTGTGTTTTACGCTTCAGTCTCTGAGCTGCAGGACAAATTCTAATGCTTTATGCAATTGTTGTAACAAAAATAAGTACCCCAGAAAAATACTGAATGGATAAATGCGTGTAAATCAGTAAAAAACAAAACTCCTTTAATAAAAAAAAATGGTAATTTATCGGTGAAAAAAAAAAAAGTGCTCTACAGCCAAAATGCTTCTGAAATAAATGTAGTCAAACTTTACTAATTCTGGATCACTGAGAACAAAAATGATGCTTAAAATTGTTGATTGGCTCTAGTTTTCAAGATATGCTATTGGATCAGTATATACGACCCTTGACTTGGGAATGGCGGAGGATAAGTGAGTTATAAAGGGAAGGGATCTCAATTTAAACCAGAAATGACTAAAATACATCTTTGACTGGATCTATGAATAAATCTATGACTGGGTTTGGACAGTACTTGCTTTTTAGGCAAAACAATGAATGATGCAATCTGAAGCTGCTATTGGGTCATACATGATATGAATTGCATCATGTTATTCCTAGAAGTCATGGATGATGCAATCATAACGAAGTTTACATCACTCTGCTGAACAAATTGCCCTATATCAGCTCTAGAAATCATACAGTCGTGCTCTCTTATTTGTCAGTTTTTGATTTTGCAAAGGGACACATTTCTGTTTAGCCAAAGTGAGCAGAGATGCCTCGTACTTGTGTGAACAGTGCAGATAACTTCTGCTATGTTTGTGGGGAAGTGATTGCATCACAAAAGCGCAGTATAACCACTATGGTTAAGAAAGCCTATCACCTTTATTTTGGCTGCAAAATTGGAGATCAGGACAAGAGGTGGGCCCCACACATATGCTGCAACACTTGTGCAACAAATCTTCGCCAGTGGTTGAACAGGAAAAGGAAATCTATGCCTTTTCCAGTGCCAATGATTTGAAGAGAGCCAACAGATCATACCAGCAATTGTTACTTCTGCATGGTGCCTCCAGTTGGGAAAGGTGTGTCAAAGAAGAAAAAGCGGACTGTGCATTATCCAAACATTCCATCAGCTATATGCCCAGTACCCAACGGAGAAGGACTGCCGGTTCCTGATGCACCAGAATCATTCTCACTTGAGTCAGACGAGGAAGAGGATGAAACTTCTGGTCCTGAACCATCAATGTCACAGGACCCACATTTTCTCCCATCCTCCTCCTCTGAACCACACCTCATAACACAAGGTGAACTGAATGACCTTGTCAGGGATTTGGAACTACCCAAGAGTAGGGCAGAGCTGTTGGGCTCCAGACTACAGCAGTGGAATCTCCTGGCAGGTGATGTTAGGGTTTCCATGTTCCGTGACCGTCAAAAGGATCTTGTCCCATTCTTCCTTCATGGAAGGTGATCTTGTAGCCTGCAACAACATCGATGGTGTGATGGCAGCCCTCAACATCGTTCACGATCCAGATGAGTGGAGACTGTTCACTGATTCATCGAAGACGAGTCTTAAAGCTGTTTTACTGCATAATGGCAATGTTTTGCCATCAATTCCAGTTGGTCATGCAGTCCATATGAAGGAAACCTATAACAACATGAAACAACTTTTGAGGTGCATAAACTATGACCAACATCAGTGGCAGCTTTGTGGCGATTTGAAGGTTGTTGCTCTCTTGCTTGCTCTGCAGACTGGATACACAAAGTACTGCTGTTTTCTCTGCGAATGGGATAGTCGTGCAAGAGATTCCCACTACATCAAGAAAGATTGGCCACTCCGACAGTCATTGGAGCCTGGGAGGAAAAGTGTTCAGCATCCACCACTTGTTGAATCAAGGAAGATTTTGTTACCACCCTTACACATCAAGCTGGGTCTGATGAAGAACTTTGTCAAGGCCATTGACAGAACACAAGCAGCTTTCAAGTACCTCCGTGGAAAATTTCCAAGGTTAAGTGAAGCTAAGATAAAGGAAGGTGTCTTTCTTGGTCCTCAGATTCGTGAACTTCTTCGAGATGATGCATTTGACCATGCACTGCGTGGCAAGGAAAAGACGGCATGGAAAGCCTTCCAGTTAGTGGCAATACATTTTCTCCGAAACAAGGCAGACAACTACAGGTTGTTGGTGGAAAACCTCCTCAAGGCATACAAAAGCCTGGGTTGCAACATGTCACTAAAGATACATTTTTTGCACTCTCATCTAGATTTTTTTCCACTGAAATGCGGAGCAGTGAGCGACGAGCACGGCGAGCGATTTCACCAGGACATTGCAACAATGGAGAAACGCTCTCAGGGCAAATGGAGCCCATCAATGCTTGCAGACTATTGCTGGACAGTGACAAGAGATGCTCCATTTAATGAATACAAGAGACAAGCCAAGAAGCGCCGAGTAGACACTGAATAGGACTAAACTATGTACAGAATAGTTTTTTGCCTTTTGTTTCATAATACATTTTATTTATATAACCCTTTCGCTGATTTTTAAAGTGTTAAATAAACAGGACAGGTGAAATATTTTCATGTAAAGCAACCATAAACACATGAAAAGACCTAGGTTTACAATTTATGATTAAAACTCTACTATCTACACAATATACATAGACATAAAATGTAAAAACTTAAATATCTTGGAAACAGTAGCCAATCAGTTGTTTTAATTGTCATATTTGAATTCAGCACATCAAAATACATAATAAATAGCACATTTTCTTTCTGAAGCAGACGACTTCTCAAAAATTGTAGACCAGTGAAATCAGCAAAAACTGAAAATGCAGAACACACAATAAGCAAGAACACTGAAGTTTCCAAAAGGAGAAAAATCTGATATCGCTAATTGTTGAGATCTGTAATATTATCTGAGCATGTGAAGTGCTATATAAATACTAAGTATTATTTACTTCCAGCTGAAAAGTTATTGTATACCAAGTAGTCAAAATTAGTCTTGCAGAAGCTTTGGCTGAAAAGCATGAGTACTAATGCACAAAATATAGCCATCGGTGTTTGAAGAATTTCTGCAGATTGGGTGTCCTTGTCTTCAGAATAAAATACTACCAATATAAAAGCAGCATAGGAGAAACTTGTAACAAAAAAACAATTTAACATCCTTAACTAAATGAAGCTGTTCTTTAAATGGAAAGTTTTCAGCTATGCTCAGGCCTGACTTCCGTTTGCAGTTACAATTTGTGCTGGCAAAAGATAAGCCTGTACTTCCTGCACCTACAAGATCTGTACCCACAATGAGGTAACTATGTAGCTACCAAGGGCTTCGGAGATCCACGCTGCTGCAATCGATGCAGCAACTGTCAATTTAGTGGGTCTAGTGAAGGCCTGCTAAATCAATGGCAGAGCACTCTCTGGTTGACTCCAGTACTCCAGCTCCCCCAGAAGAGTAAGGTAAGTCGACCAGAGAGCATCTCCTGTCGATGCAGCACAGTGAAAACACAGGGGTACGTCGACCTAAACTATGTCGACTCCATCTACGTTATTCATATAGCTGGAGTAGCATAACTTAGGTTGATTTACCCCGGTAGTGAAGACTAGCCCTATGACTGCTACTGTCCAGTATGCCCACAAAGAGGAGACTGGAACACTTGATATTTAGGGCCAAATTTAAAATTCACCAATGAACCGGGTTAGGTATAGTATAAGACAAACCTATTTGACCAATAGTAGTAAGAAGCTATTTAAAATAAATATGATTATATTTGTTTTTTGCTAACTTTGTAGATAAAAATCTACAAAAAAGCACTACCCTCCCCCGCCTAGAATGTCAAGGAGGGATCCATGCAAAGCAACTGCAGCACAAAAAAAGGCAGAATGACCTCCTGTTGCTGCTTAAAGAACGGATATAACTAGTGGAAATGGGAGATGGTACTGCATCCTCCACACAGCAGATCCCTATAAAAACCGCTTCAAGTATGTTATGTTTAAAAGTGAAGGTTTTTTTTAAAAGAAGTAATGAATGAATAACTGATGCCAAAATCTTAGCCCACCTGTAGGTTTTCCTCTCTCTCTGGCATCGGCCCAAAGTGCTGAAGGATCTGGCTGCGAAATTTGTTTCTCAAGCTTTGGAACCAGCCACAAGCCTGATTGTATACCACGTCATGAAGCGCTCTCAGATTCTTCAGCTCTTCTTTATCTGCAACCTATGATAGAACACTAGAGTAAACTTAAATACACAACAACAAAGAATGAGATAATCGGTCTAATACACATTCCATTTCAACTGTTAGTAACAATCATGAAGCCTCGGCATTCATACAAGCCTTGAGGAGCAATGGCGGAAAGGAGAAAAAGCAGCGTTGTGGTACAGAAATCCCACACTTCAGACCAAATACCTCTCATAAAATAGCAACATGACAAGAATTATGTAAAACAAATTTGTGTTTAAATAGGTCATATTTACAGTCCTGCTTTAAGTCATTCTGCACTTAATATACATTTGACAGGCCCACTTTTTCCATTATATTCTTTACTACAGTCACACATTTAGATCAAGTTCTAATTCTGATGCAGCTAAACTCTAGAAATCAATACTTTGGCATATTTCATAGTTACGGTGGATAGCTAATAGCTGTCCAAAAAAACTCATGACGCCTTATTTAAATTAGAAAAATTAGTTATTGGCTATGTATCAGTTCAAAAGTAATTTTTACTTCATAAAAGTTAATAGTATTGATTGGGGGGGAGCACAATTCTAAGATAAATTTGTCTTCACAAAAGGTCTAGAAAATCTTAGCTATTTTTATTTTTCTTTAACATAGGAGAACCATGTCTCCCAGCAACTGTTCTGTAATCCCAAACATTTGAAGCCAAGTCTTTATGAACAAATGGTAGAGAAAACTAAGAGTGTTGGTTAAGAGGAGTGTTACTGCTCAGAAAGAGTTCTAGATACCTTAATATCTTCCAAATATTCGATGTCTGCAGTACAATAGCCATCTTTCATCCCTCTTCGTAAAACTCTAAATCTCTTTCCACCAACTGTGTCAACAACAGACCTCCCATCAGGTAGGAAATGAATATTCCTAATTTGCAGCATACAACCATAATCTGCAAAACTAGAACCAGAAGCACTGTCAGCAATGCTAAGTTCACAATTTTCAAACATTTTTGCAATAAAACGGAGGCTGGGGGGAGGTAGAACCATACAGAACTCTTAGCTGCTTAAGAGCATCAGAATGTATACTTGCTTGTTTTGAGGGTCACTGATACACATCCCAAATTGTTTAGTCCCAGTTTCCATACTTCTGCGAATCATCAATCGGTATCTTGGCTCAAACACATGAAGAGGGCAAGGCACAGTGGGGTATGCCATAGTGCAAACAAACACAGGAACATTCTTGGTCAAGCTAAAGACAAACCCAAAATAGATTAAATATACATTTGAAATCTAACCACAAGACTGTGCCAAGCCATAATAATTAACAGCCAAAGTGCTACACTACATTTATTTTGCCAAAGGCAATTTAAAAAAAAAATAATAAAGAAATGCTGGGTGTCCGCTGATTTTCATTATACCTGAAGTCATAAAATGTCCCTGGCAGGGTGAACATTTATTGCTCTTGAAACATTTAAGAGAACATTACAAAGTGTATTATGGACAGTGGTTTATTCTGATCAAATATTTATAGCCAGAATTTTTCCCCCCCAATAGTTTGTAGCATATAAACTACCATTGAAAGAACACTTATTCTGTGAGATGCACCAATCTGTGAAAGTTTTACTAAAGTTAGAGAATAGTTTCTATAGTTGTAGTTACTGCAAGCCATCAGCTGAATTACTTCCAGGGATGGACCCCGAACAGGGGGAGTGCAATACAAGGTAAAATTTGCTGTGCATGGCTCACATAGTAGCAGCTAACTAAGGGAATGAAATAGATTTGGTCAAAGATTTTTTCCAAGCTGTTTTTTTAATCAATGTTTTTATTTTTGCTAGAAGCAGACAGAGTTAGCACTAAAAGTTACCCTGTATCTTGCACTATACCTCTGCCTTTCAGAATGTACAAACGGTCATTTGAATGTTAGTGTTTTGCTCTGCACTGTTAAGTTGCCTAAGTGGTAGTTTCTCACCAGTATTTTCTGACACAGACAGAGGCTCTAAGACAGACAGAGATGGTTCTAAATAGTAAAAGGAACAACTTGAAAGTCAAACTTTATTTTAATGTTTTGTACTTATTAATAAAAATAACCCCTAAGATTACAACTGAAAAATTAGAGAATACACAAAATAAAGTGGGAAAAAGAGTACTGTTTTATCTGTCATGCAACTCTGAGGGAAACTCAGAAGTATGCTTTTCCCCAGGCTTTGCAAGAGGCTATTTACCTGTAACAGTAACAAAGCTGAAACTGAAGAGACAGTATATAGGCACAGAGAAGGAAGAGAGATGGGCCTGATCATGTTAGGTGGTGCTAATCTTGAGCTCACCTAAGAGACCATTATACAAATGTGTGATTTTTTTAACTAAAATAGGACATTCATTAGTTTCCTGAAGTTAGTAAATTTAAATACTAAGTTGACAGCTTTCCCGATATTTAATGTTCCTTCACAAAATTATGAAATGCCATCATTAAAATCATTAACAAACGATACAAAAATTTCTACCCTGACAGTAACTGGATTTCTTCAAGCTGCATCCCCCTATGGGTGCTCCACTTGAAGTGCTCACAGTCCTTCAAATCAGAGATTTTCGGCTCATTCAGTCCCCATGTTCCCTAGATATTCTCATGTCCTTTACAGAGCACATATAGAGCTGTGGATAGACTGCTCTTGGTTCCTTCTCCACTGCAAAGCCTAAGGAGACGAGGCTCTGAAGCAAAGTGGAAGGAGGGAGGGTAGTGGAGCAATCATAGGGACACACATCTTGAAAAAGCCCAGTTACTAAACAAGGTAACCAACCTCTCTCTCTTTTCTTCAAGTAGCGTCCCACCTATGGTGCTCCATTTGAGGTGGCTCCCGAGCAGTATCCTTTGAAGGAGATGGGAATTTTGGAACTCAATCTAAGACTGAGAGTAAAATTTCAGAGCCTTTGACAGCATCTATTCAAGAAGCACCAAGTATGGTATGGTGTCCTCATGAAGCAATCTTGCAAATCTCAGTCCACCAGCAGAACAACAGATGTAGATTGATATCTGGCAGGTAGGTATAGTATATTACAAGCAGTATAGTAAGAGAGGATCCAGTCAGAAACCAACTTAGAAAGTCTCTGCATGGACACTGGCACTCCTTTAGCTATGTCCACAATAGAAACAAATAGTCTCAGAGAGGCTCGAAAAAGTCTAGTCCTGCCCAAATAATAGGTCAGTAGCCTCCTAACATCCAAGTTATAAAGGGCAGCTTGTTGCCTAGAAAGATGGGGTTTAGGACAGGAAACTGGGAGGTGAATTGACTAGTTTATGTGAAAGTCTGAGCTAACTCTGGGCAAGAAACAAGGGCGTGCTCAAAGGGATACCTTTTCTTTGAAAGAGACAGCATATGGAGGGTCAGCCATCAAAGCTCTTGGCTTGCCAAGTCTTTGGCCCTAAAAAGGCTGTTTTCAGGGAGAGATTTAGAAACAAGCAGGTAGCTAGCAGTTCAAAGGGAGGCTTCATCAGAAAGTTAAGAACTAAATTTAAGTCCCAAGTGGTAATGGGATATCTGACATTTGGGAAAGATTAGATAATCTTTTGATGTGTCAAGAAGTTGCAAGGGTGAGCAAATACTGAGAAACCCTCCACCAGAGAATGAAATACTGTGATGGCCACTACAAGAGCTTTAATTGAACCTAAAGTAAGATTTCCTTTTTTCAGAGCAAGAAGATATTCCAGAATCTCTGAGGTAGCAGAGTCAGCAAGAGATTGGTGCCGGTCAGTTCACCAGTGGTAAAATCTATTTCTGATGGAATCTTTCCTACTATTCAGCAGGACTTCATATCCTTCTCCTGAGGAGGAGAGTGCTAACCCTGAGAGTCATCTAGATACCAAGCTTTGAACTGCAGTGTTCAGGTTGGAGTGAAGAACATTCCTCAAGTCCCGAGTAGGAAGACTGGACATTGATGGAAGGTTGATGAAGGAGAGGCAAAGGTAGTAAAGAAGTCATGCTAGTTTTGGCCAGGTTGGTGCAATCATGACAACTGTGACCTTGTCCTGTCTGATTTTGTTTAGCACCCTGAGGATGAACAGCTTTGGGGGAAGAGTGTAAAGGAGATTCTCTGTCCATGGGAAGAGAAAGTCAACCCCCAGAGAATGATGACCCAGGCCTCCTCTTGAACAGAACTTCACACAACTCACCAGAGAAATCTGCATGTAAGAAATATTTGTCAAAATATCGATTTATTTTCCACTTGTGATCTTGAGTGAAGTGACTGCTAAGATCAGGATATGGTGCACTATTGTCCAGTTCCATAACTTTATTGCCTTCGTGGAGAGGGAAGGAGATTCACTCTCCATTGCTAATACAGTAGTACATACTGGCCCTGTTGTCTGTCATCATGCAGATGGATTGACCCATGGACGGCGGGTACCATAGCCTATGCTCTGCCCCCAGTCTCCCTTCCCTTGCTTCCCACTCTGCATGCAGCTCCAGTCCCCCAGTGCTGGCCCCAGCTGGGGCTAGGCTGCACACCACCTGCCCTCCCGGCGCTCCAGGGGGGCTGAGGGAGCCTCTGGGCTCTGGTGGGGGTGTGTGGAAGGGACGGGGGCTCGGGCAGAAGGTGTGGGACTGGGGGGCTAGCCTCCTCCAGCCAGCGGTTCATGCGTTGCCCATAGTTTGACCTTGTATCATACAGAGGAAATGCTGTCAGGCATAATTTACAGCTTGGAGTTCCAGAATGTTGATGTGCAAGGTGGACTCTTGGGCAGTCCACCTGTACTGGACAGTCCAGTCCCACAGATGAGCTTCCTATCCAAGGAGAGACATGCTGGAAACTACTGTAACAATGAGAGGGGGACAGTTAAATGCAATCCCTGCGCACACATTGTCTGGATTCTTCCACCAGTCGAAGGAGACTAGTATGTGAGGAGGAAGAGAGAGCAACTTATTTAGACGGTCTCTGTTACAGGCATAAAGTGTCCTGAACCAAACTTGGAAGCAACACAAGTCTAGGAGAGGATGTAGCATGACAAAGATACATGCTGGCATGAGCCTGAGGACTCAGTTGAATTTGAGCAATTAAGTATGACGGAGTGAGGAATATGTCCTCTGGCAGATAAGATCTGAATGTTGTAGCATCAAGGGTAGCCCCTATGAATTCTAGCCTTTGAGGCCTTTGCAGAGCTGAGCTGAAAGCAAAACCTGTTGAACAGAGCCATTTACAGCACTTCTGACTTGAGAGCCAATAGTTGAGGTAAGGGAAGATGATTAATGCCAACTGGTGAAGCTGTGCAGCAACTATCACCATAATGACTTGTGGATAGTTAATGTAATGCTGATTTTTTAAAAAGCGTCCAGAGATGATCCTGGCTACTACAAACCAGTAAGCCTAGCTTCAGTACCAGGCAAATTGGTTGAAACTATAGTAAAGAATTATCAGACACACTGATAAACACAATATGTTGTGGAAAAGTCAACACAGCCCTTGTGAAGGAAAATCATGCCTCACCAATCTATCAGAATTCTTTGAGGGGGGAATCAAGAAACATGTGACTAGGGTGATCCAGTCAATATAGTGTAGCTGGATGTTTAGAAAGCCTATGACAAGGTCCCTCAATCAAGGGCTCTTAAGCAAAGTAAGGAGTCATGGGATAAGAGGGAAGGTCTTTTTTTAACTTGTTACTGATCCATAAGACAGGAAACAAAAGGTAAAAATAAACTGTCAGTTTTCACAGTGGAGAGAGGTAAGTAGTGGGCTCCCCCAAGGATCAGTACTGGGACGTACTCATAACGTATTCAGAAATGATCTGGAAAAAATGGGTGAATAGTGAGGTGGCAATTTTGCAGATGATACAAAATTACTCAAGCTAGATAAGTCCAAAGCTGACTGCAAAGAGTAACAAAGGGATCTCATGAAACTGGGTAACTAGGCAACAAAATGGCAGATGAAACCCAATGTTGATAAATGCAAAGTAATGTACATTGGAAAACATAATTCCAACTATACATACAAGATGATGGGGTCTAAATTAGTTGCCACTCAAAGATCTTGAAGTCATTGTGGATAGCTCTCAGAAAACATCTGCTCAATGTACAAGGCAGTCAAAGAAGCTAACAGAATATCAGAAACTATTAGGAAAGAGATAGATGATAAATCAGAAAAATATCATAATGCCACTATATAAATCCATGATATGCCCACACCTTGAACACTATGTACAATTCTGGTCATCCCATCTCAAAAAAGGTATTAGAATTGAAACAGGTACAAAGAACAGCTACA